CTTTCTGGATCCCTGCTGGGTGGATTAGTGGGAGGAAAGACTGGCAAAAGCAATACCAATGATGTGGGGCTTTTGGGATGTGACAGGTCTGAACACCAATCAACTATTATAGGTCCTGGTGTTTTCCAAAGAGAGGTGAGTCTAAGGAATGTCAGAGGTAAGACGTGTACTCATTGCAGACTTTGAGTGTTGACAATGAAATTTGGATAAAACTGATTTGGGTTTGAAGGATGATGTGTGGGGTGGTGGGAGAAGCACACAGAAGAATATGAATGGAAATTTAATGGAGACTTCAAGAAAGGCATGCCTTTGGACAGTGGCCATGGATTCTGGTGATGTGTCTCATGACGACATTATATTACTTTAATTCTCAAAATGCTATGAAGTTGTACAACTGTAGAATTCTCTTGGTGGTCTAATAACATTTGCTCAGATTTAGAGATTGTTGGAGGTTATTCTGACATATATGCCTATGTCCAGATAATTTTGTGAGGGAATTAGTTTAGGGAGAGTCAAACACTACATACATAACCTGAACATACAATGACAAGTTATTTTGAACCTGAAGTTGACTACTAGTTTTCTAACAGATAAATACCAACCATTTGTCAACTGTTTTTAAAGAACAGAATAAGATCTTCTACATTATGGATTTTTATTGTCCTGCTATACTACACACCCAGGCCTCGCATATTAATGTCTACATGCCAGAACTGCTCTAAATTATTTGATGTATTAATTTATTTAATTTTCAATACATATTTCAACTTCATAGTTGAGAAAACTGAGGCTCAGGGATCTTAAATAACTTGCCTGAGGTCACACAGCTAGTGAGCGGCAGATCCAAGAGTTGTACCCGGGTCTGGCACCAGAAATCTCATGCTGAAATATGTCAGTATAATGCCCTCAACTGTGAAGCTGAGAAGTCATTGGGAGACGCACCATGGGGTGGTTGTCGACCATTTCACAAAACGTTGAAAGAAACTTTTGTGAGACTGTAAAGTCCCATCTTTTTTTTGAGTGGCAAAAAAGATGTAGAAGCACTACATGCTACTTGAAGGTGGAAGATCTTAAAAATGCAGCTACAGTAGAAAAAATATACACACTAGGCAATCTTCTTCTTCTTTTCTTCTTCTTCTTTTTTTTTTTTTTTTTTTGAGACAGAGTCTCACTCTGTCACCCAGGCTGGAGTACAGTCGTATGATCTCGGCTCACTACAACCTCTGCCTGCCAGGTTCAAACAATTCTTGTGCCTCAGCCTCTCAAGTAGCTGGGACTACAGGCACGTGCCACCACGCCTGGCTGATTTTTTGTGTTTTTAGTAGAGACAGGGTTTCATCCTGTTGGTCAGGCTGGTCTCGAACTCCTCACCTCAGGTGATCCACCCGCCTTGGCCTCCCAAAATGCTGGGATTACAGGCATGAGCTACCGCGCCCAGCCAGCACTGGACAGTCTTCTTTCAGCTCAAACATGGTTTCTAATTTTTCAACCAACATATTATAAAGTCCTTGGTAATTTAAGGATTATTATTACCAATACTATTTTAAACAGAAATGTTTTTCTGAGATCAACTGACTTCAAGGAATGAATGTTTGAATACAAATATGGAGTAAAAGAGAAAGAGCTTTTGGGAACTTCTAGTGCCTCTGCCACCAGTAGTAATTTCTTGGAAAGATTTAATATTCTATTACAAATTTTTAACTTATATTGTTTTATATGTATTTTTAATACTTAATTTTTTACACACTTAACATCAACATTTTACAATTAGTGTTCTCTAGTTAGTTTCATGAGCTTCAGAGAGTTTATGAAGTCACTTACATTCACAGAATATAATCTAATCAAACTCCCTGGAAATGGAGAATGGCTAGATACTGCTTTCAGAGTTTTCAAGCCAAAATATCTGGGAATTATTTTGTTTTTTTTTTTCATTTCTTTCCCTTCCAGAATGTAAAATTAATTTTCTAATTTGGGGGGTTTGCATTATGCTTTCTCCTTCCCTCTCTTACTTGCTTTCTTGCCTCTTTCTTGTACTTTCTTCTTCTCTTGTTCCTTGTTTAGTTAATAATTTTAAGTATAAGCATTACCCAAATGATTCATCTGTAAATTCCCTAACTTTTTTATAAGATGAGTCAATGGAGAATTTAGGACTTGATTTCTGTGTCCCTACTCCCATTCGCCTTCTTTTGTTCTGAATTTCCTTGATTTGACTTCTTTCCTTATGTAAAGTTTTAACTTTTCAAAAAGTCACTTGAAGATCTACTTTCTCTAAAGGCCTTTTCAAATTTATTCACCAAATCATCTTTTCCTTCTTTGAATAGGTTGTATCATATTTTACTTACCTTCATTCTTCGCTTATCCAATTGTGTAATATGGTCATCTGTTTACTTAATTCCTCTAAAAGATTCAAAGGTGTTTAGAGAAGAAATTGTTTCCTTAAACATCTTTTAATTGCTGCAATCCCTTTGCATAATATGTTTAGCCTAGTCAATGCCCAAGAGATATTTGTTGAAGTCTGTTACACAAAATAAAATAAGAAATTGATTTCATCCAGAAAATTCAACTTGAGTTCCCACAATTCCATCATTCAGGTTGTTGCCTTCTTGGAATCTAAAATTGCTGGAATAATATGCACAGCAGCAACTTGGGGCCCAAAGCACCACAAATTGGAATAATTTGGTTCTTAATTGCATATAATTCAGTCCCTAATTACTCCCTGACAAAAGGTAGGGTGTCTGGCCTCATATCCCTAGTGGATGTATTCAGTGGGGTACATGGATTGTTGAGCTGCTGGAGGAGTTCATTTCAGAGACAAAATCTGTCCAAAATAGCAGTAAGAAATGACACTGAACTGAGTGGTTAACATTTTTATTTCAAAAAGCAGGATATTGTATATATCACTTTCTGAGAAAATAATTAAGGTACTATAATTAAATGAGTTCCATGTTTTTAAACACGATAAGGTTATACAGAATCTCTCAAATGTGAGTTTACTCAAACTTTATTTAAATATAGCAGAATTTAATTGGGAGTTTTAAGTGGTGATTTCTGCCTCTCACAAAATAGAAGCTCTTTTACAGGGTTTTATTTATTTATTTTCTTAAAGTTACAGCTTTATATATGTTACAAGTGTTTAATCTTTTAATAGAGAATATTATTCAGTTATTTGAATAATAATGGTGAATATGATTCAATATTATTCAATTATTATTTAATTATTCAGTACTGAATAATCCTTTAGGGGTTATATGTGCCATGAAAAGTACATTTTTCTTTTTTTTTTTTTTGAGAAGAGTCTGGCTCTGTCATCCAGGTTGGAATGCAGTGGAGCGATCTTGGCTTACTGCAACCTCCGCCTGCCGGGTTCAGGTGATTCTTTTGCCTCAGCCTCCCGAGTAGCTGAGATTACAGGCATGTGCCACCATGCCTGGCTAATTTTTGTATTTTTAGTAGAGACAGGGTTTCACCATATTGGCCAGGCTGGTCTCAAACCCCTGACCTTGTGATCCGCCCGCCTCAGTCTCCCAAAGTGCTGGGATTACAGGCGTGAGCCATCGCGTCCGGCCACATTTTCCTTTTCGTAACCAATGAACAACAAACTAACATTGACACAAAAAAGAAAAGAATGATCTCAAAATCTTGTCTCATTCAAGGAGAATACAGTGTGAGATTCAAAACATATTCTTCCCTGAAAAATTGCAACTACTTCCCATATGCCTAAAAAACGAAAACAAAATAAAATGTGGAAACATGCATGTGATTCATTAGCCCTCACTGGATTTAAATTTCTGTCTGCAGTAGACTACGCTGAACATCTGAGGCTTTTGTTTTATTCTGGCTATGATCACATGAACCTGTTTTAAATAAAATTAAAACTGTTTCAAAATGTTAGTTTTTAAACTTCCTACAAGATATCTCCTTTCACCACAATAAATTGACCAGCATTTTTACATCAAATACATGGTGTACACATGGAAGTGGAAAAAATAAATTTATGTCTTTTAAACTTTCTGTTTCTAGGTAGATACCTCCCTTCCTATTTCTTAGAAGTGTGGATATCAAGGTTTACCCTGGAATCTCTCTCTGGAATCTCATCAACTCAGTGCCTAGCAATGCTTAGCAGAGTGTATGTCTCTTTTCCCTCTTTGTTTCTGACTGCTGTTAAGTCCAGCATTAATTTACACTTAAGAGTTTCATCCACTTAAAACTTTATACCAGTATGTCTCCTATATTGAAAGAGGGCAACTCGATAGCTCAAAATTCATCCGCACACATAGAAGAGAAGTTTCCATCTTGTAAAGCTAACATTTATCATTCAATATTTTAATGTACTATAGAATTTTCCTTAAACTATATATTTTTCATACGAAGCTGTCATAAAACTGAGGAGAATATCTTCTCTGATTTCAAACCCATCAAGTTACGTTTTTAAAAACTACTTTCCAAACCCCAGGGGCAGTATACTTGAGGGGGCAAGCACATCAGTGTCTTTAGAAAATGAGTTGAGAAAAGTCAAATTGGATTCATAGTTGAACGTTTATTATTGGTACCAAAGAATCCATCTGACTGAAAATGTAACCACTATTAGCACTAATTGTAGTTATACAGCTACATTGAAGTGAAGCTGCATCCCATTATTTCAATTATTGAAATCTTATAGGCAGGTTGTTTAATTTGTCTCATCCCACTGTCTATCCAACAGCTTTCTACTGCACAGATTGTTAAGAATGATTCACAAACTGTTGCTGCCTTCAAACTATATACTATAAAAGGTAGCCAAGAAGTAATTGTATGTTGTAGCGAACATAAAATAATTTGTGGCTTCAAAATATGTTTTTGACACAAAGCCTGCCTGCCCATTGTAGAAAATTTTGTCAATTCATGTGAAAATATTTATTACCTGTAACCATAGATACAAAAAATCAATGTGTGTGTTGTGTAACATTATGTCGGTAATGTACTTGTTACTGTTTTGAGATTTCTTTTGGTCTAGATTACTGTTCTGCCAAACAATTTTTTATTATACCAGGGCAAGTGATTGCTGTACTAAATTTGCAATTGTAATCATAATTTTCCTGGGAATGCTAAATTATGTCTTAATTTTATTCAAAAGCTTTTATTTTTAAAGTAATTAAGCTTATTGTTGACTGATATTTACCATCCAATGTTCCAGGAACACTAAAAGAATACACTTTGTACGTAATCTTCCATTATAGCACAGTGCTTGAGAGCAGCTATTTAATGTAACAGCATTCAGTTGAGTTTTCAAACCAAAGAACTAAAATTATAGCAATTTCACTTGAAATCCATAAATCCATGCACAGGATTGTGTTCAACAGAATCACTAAATGCTATTTGTTATTCAAAGATGAATGAATCAATAACAAAATAGAACTGATAAATCATTAGCACTTTAATGCAGAGTGGAGAGAAACTAATAAATCATGCAGTTCAAGCACTCATTTTCCTTATGGCATGTTTGAAAACATAAAACATGCAATGATGAGATGCAGGTCAATATGAATGAACAATATTACAAGACTGCTCAAAAGCATTTCATTTTACAACATAGGCTTAATGAAACACTAAAAGAAAAGTACTGTTCCATGATTTTTTAAAACAATCAGAGACTCCAGCTATGCCATGAACACCTTCAACAGTGATCTAGGCTGTTGTTTCCAAATAAACATTTGAAATGTCATAAAGATGGGAGTGGAGTAGGTGAGGAGGAGGGAGCTAATTGCATGCATGATTCCCTTCCAAGAGCTCAGTATTATTACAGGTACCAATTTATACTAGAAAGAAACTGATACAATCATTTACTTCCTTCAAGTATACTTAACTGATCCATGAAAAATTACATCTATATTTATAAATGACTAAAAAAAGCAAGAAATCATCTATTGAGCTTTCATTGTGTTGTCTGGCTTATTGTCTGTCTGTGAAAGGTGAGAATTTTAATCATAATTAATGGGTAACTCACTCTCTTTCCAGCATCTTAGTCATCACAAAATTAATCACAGGAACCATAAATTTGTTCCACAATGCTTAATTAATTATGCATTAACCCATTTCTCTCAAGCATCTTTTTCTGAATCTTTGGTGGGAAACACATTGATTAGGCACGTAGTTTAAAATATCTATTTGGTTATTGGTGTGGTTATGAATTCTCTCCTAGATTCTCATGCAGAAAGGAACAAGGCTTGCCATATTACCACACTTGACTGTCAAGTAACATATTTTCACTTATTTCTGGAATTAAAAAGAAAGCTAAGCAAAATAAAAACCGCGTTCTATTTTTCAGCACAAGAAAACTTTATACCTGATATTTTTATTTCCGCTCAGAAGAGTTAAGATGTTGAAGAAAAACTATGTATATATAGCAAGGTATTGTAGTCAACTATTTAATAAAATATTTGAATTAAAATTTCTCCTCAAGTCATAGGTCATTGATACACTGATTCTAAAAGGGAAACGTATAGCAGTCTGCAATTATGATCATTGTAGCGTTACTGATTAGTGCTTCGTAATCATTGGAATCACACTGAGAATCACATTTCCCATGGTATTTCCTTTTTCATGTTTCACAGGTTTTTCTTACAGGTTAGTAAATGGAAATTGGGGAAGAGATGGGTGGGAGATGTAAAAATCTATGGGAATGCATGCAACAAAAATATGCAGTATCACTTCAGGTAAGCTGCTTTCTTCATGCAAAGATGCCTATAAAAACTGAGACAATAAATTTTCTAATAGCTGAACTTTACATTAGCTTAGTAACAAAACCTGTTAAACAACTTCCATGATTGTGTATGAGCAGGAGACTTGAAATGGTTCAGATTTCCAGCATATGTGTTCCATGGCCCAATTATGCTAATTCAATTTCTAAGAATGAAACAATACAGGATTATTCCTTGCTTCGGTTTCTTGTCCTTTTGACGAGGGAGCAGAATAACCCGGTTTTTGGAGGAGGGCCCATCAGCATCGGAGCTTGGTTCTTGTGTGTAATTTTTATCTAGAAAAAAAAGAGAGAGAGAGAGTAGAGTAATCTCCAGATACAATACCAATTTGTGAGACTCTCTGTTAAGGTTAATAATATTTCAGGAGTGACTGAAACACCACAAGTGTAAAATGTAATTTCAGAGTTTCTATTATTTCAAAAATATTTTTAAAGGAGATAGAGATATGGACTTAAATACTATCTCAATGCTCAGGATAATAATTTTAAAAATTATCTGAAGTCACATTTTAAATATTATGTTACCTCTAACCTCACTTGTAGTAATATTCCAGAACTGCTTACTTAGGTTACATGATTATCTAGTATTATTTCTTGACCATTGGTTATGTATTATTTATTGAAGTCAGGAAAGAATGCACCATTATAGTGTCCAGAGTCCTAGTTATAGCCCAATATCAAGATGTACTTGGTATCAAAGCAAGCCTTATTTATCTTGCTAATCAGATTGTTTCTGTCTTTCAACATGAACTGCGAGGCTTAATATCAAAACAGTCATTAGAAATGAAAGTTAAAAGTTAACATGCATAAAAGGTCAGAAATGATGAACTAGCTTTCTAATTTGTTAATTAATCGGTAATAGAATAGAATCAAATATTGAAAAGCCTGCTTAAAACACTTTGAGAGACTGTTCTAAAGCTACTCGTTTTGATTTCTTTGATATAAAACTACGAATCACCTTAAATGAGACAACCTTAAAGTAGATTACGTCTGCAATTTTCTCTAATTCAACTCTAAATTAGAGAAGACATTTTATGAATATATGCTATGCTCAAAGCTAATTGAAAGCAATTATCAAAGTGGCATTTTGTCTGTGACTTTAAGATACATTGTAAGATAATAAATGATTCTCATTATGTAATAAAAAGGTCACATCTTGCCTTTGGGCTAGTGACGCTAAGAGTTTTTCAAAAGCAATCTGAGACATTTTCTTTAGCGAACTGCAACTAATACAAGAACCATCGCTTATTAAATATCAGTTGTCACCTGCACAGCATTCGCATCAGAGATGAGTATTTCTTTCAAAAAGAAACACCACCTCATTAAAAGCTGCAAAAAATATATCTCTTAAAGTGCATACCTGACATTTTCAAGTTAAAATGAATATCCTTCACTTGTCATTCACTAATAGCAATGAAACAAAAAAAATGTATATCACGTGGACAGGATCATTAAAATCTGCAGTGGGGCTTTTGGGAAATGGAAATTTACTTAACAGTCTAGAAAGACAGAAGTATGTGAAAAACCTTGAAAGAATGAACAACTTTATTTAAGTCTGCTGGAATCAGGTTATTCTGGAAGGATTCAGTGTTCTTTTTCCTGCAAAAATAAATTGCACCTGTAAAAGGCCACTAAGGCTAACCCAGCCTCAAACTCCATAGATATCTGACTTCATCTTATTTTTGTAATATTATGAACTAGGGAATTGATAGTCATATAGTTAAGACACCAGAATGCACTTAACTCTGTAGATTGAAAATGATCTATACCAGATTTTCTCTCAATAACTCAGCATTAGATTATACTGTACCTTATGTCATTGAGTTTTAAACTCCTCCAAAATTCTAGCTGTAGACAGGATCTAAGACTGCATCATTCATCATTTATTCATTTCACAAAATTTGTTCAGCCCCTACTATGCTTCAGACACTGTATCAGGAACTTTGAATAAATAGACAATATACAATCTCTGCCCCCAAGAAATTATAGTCTAGCAGGAAAGGTAAATTGAACAAGCACACTGAATAGTGTCACAGATGCTGAAATGGGAGGCTTAGCAGAAAGGCACTATTTTTTAACATTGAAAATGAAAATGAATCATTTTATGCACAAATGTCATTTTTAAATGAGTACTGGGAAAGCAGTTATCACATATTACTTACATGATAACCTTAGATTCAAATAGAACATTAAGACCTAAAGTAAGAAGGTTGAGATTTCTGGTTCATAATTTCTGGACTAAATGCTTTACAGGACATAATAGTATTAGGGCATTTTGGGAAATTGGATCATTATTTCCAAATAGTTGTTAAGACGATGAAAGAAATCTATCTTTCTAGCCATTTATATATATAAGTTAGTATCAATTTATGACAAAGCATAGCAAAAATGTCACATAATTATTAGCTATAAGATTTAGCTGCTTCTTTGTGTTTTTTTCTGGGGGGGGCATATAAATTTTGTTTGATTATGGCTATTCTTATATTGAAAACCTTTTTTTTTTTAAAAAAGAAATTACATGATTTTATGCCTTTGAAAAATAGCACAGTATCTCATTCAGTGCTCTTGATACAATGGGGCCTTTCATCTATGTGAGTAATGAAAACACAAGTTCGAGTTTCCAGTCACTCATCAGAATAATGGCCAGTACTATTTTAAAAATTATAAGTAACCTGTCTTCTTGGTTGTTTAATCATTTCTGTAGTCAAAGTACACAATTGTTTATTTAATTTAAGTTTATTTCTGCAAAAAATGAAATCCACATCCTTTTTGTCTGTTGTTTATGGAAACGAGAACTAATTGGTTTTATTTTCTTCTTTGTTAGGGGAGACCACATGGAGGAAACTAGCATTCAATAAATGTCTATTATGAATCCTGGCTTTTCACATGGCTGATTTCACTGGATAGTTACATGTCTTAGTATATTTGGGCAGAAGCAAAATCACTCTACTAAAGATGAGAATAATTCCAAGCCACATGGATTGTCGGTGTCACAGTCACAGAAATTCCAGGTGTAGGCTCTAGGAAGCTGCAGAGACTCAAGTGAACCTGCAGACTCAGGTTGCTCATGTGGCAAAATTCTGGTTAATGGGGGTTGACAAGGCCTATAATTATGACTCTGATGCCTGTTTTGTATACATTGAACGTTCTTGTTTTATTATTATTCTTAATTTTCTACCCACTAGAGAAATAACAATGAGTAAAAATTTTATCCCCAAAAACCTTAGAATATATTAAGTTTCAGCAATCTAAGGACATGAACCAAGTGGCCTCTCTTTGAATGCTTCCTTCTATTAAGAGTCAGGTAATTACTTCTCAGTTATTCCTTGATACATCAAATATTTTTGGGGCACTGGGTATGAACAAGGCATTTTGCAACATGATTTTGGTTATTTAGTTTCTAAGAGACTCTGACATTATTATTTGAAAGAGAATACTGGGCACTCATAAACAGTGGTGATGGGACTCCTAGAAACTGGAATGGCTCCGTGAAGGTGGAGTAGCATTGCTTACAACATGCAAGGTAAATACTATCAGATACAGAATGGTGGCCTCCTATAAAACTCTTCATTCTCCTTATCATGTACCCTTTTAGAAAAGCAACAGTGGCAGAGAAAGGTTCTTCTACTGCCCGTGACTATTTCTACTTCTGTCTTCCTATTTCAAATTAAGACTGGCCACTTCTAAGAATATAAATACCAAAAATGTGGGTTCAGTTTCACTTTTATAATTATTCAATATGAAATAAGGATGCACATATAGAAACCAGTCAGAGAATCAAAGATTACAAAGCATAGTCTTCATCTTCTTATTTCTATTACATTGTTAAGGTTGAGTAGTTTGATAGTTGTGATATTTCCACCTCATAGTTGTAATGTTAAGAATAACAACCAGAATAAAAAATAATATTGATCTGGCTCTTACTGTGTGCCAAGCTTTTTGCTAGGTGTTTTACACGTTATTCAGGTGCCACCTATTTCATTCACTTCTTTGAGTTGCCCTCAAAGTCCACTCCCATAAAAAAAGTATTATTAGAGAAGAGTGTAAAACTGAAGTAGAATTTCATAAAAGGGATAGAAGAGGGTATTTATATCTCACAGCACATAGCAAATAATGTTTATTCCCCAGGTATTTGTATTCTCTTCAAAGACTTTCTTCAGCACAACTAAAATCAGAGGGAAGAGAAATGGGTCTTCCCTGATTAGTTTCCCAGACAGTACTTGGTTCAGCTCATTGGTGATTTCTTTCTTGCTTCCCTGTCTTTCAACATCAAATATTTCCAAACCCTTTATTATGAAAAGTAGCATTTCTCTTTCTTTTGTTATCTGAACAACTGTTCAACATCCTTTCCATAATCATTTACTGAAGCATTCTGATAAGTTTAGTTTCTCTTTCTTTTGTTATTTGAACAACTGCTCAACATCCTTTCCATAATCATTTACTGAAGCATTCTGATAAGTTTAGAACAGAGGTGGGTCTATTTTCTTTAAGGAATTCTTATACCTGCTGTTGAAATTATTTTAAAAATAATTTTACTTTTATAATATCTAATTTTGGCCTCCTAACAACTCTGGGAGGTAGCTGTCAACATCCTTACTTTACACTGGAGGACAAAGAGACTTAAAAGGTTTCTGCTACCTGCATAACATCACTCAAGTGGGTAAATGCAAGAGCTGGGTTTGATAGTTGACTCTCAAATCTCCTAGGACCTCCTTGCTAATTCCCACCTCTGCACCTTTGTGCTAGTTATTGCCCTAGAGAGCATTCCCTCTCTTTTTTGCCAATCAAATTTCTATCCCTGTCCTGCCCAGCTTAAATCACACATTATTGTAAAATTTCAAAGTGCAGGGATAAAAAGAAGATTCTAAATGTCCTCAGAGAGAAAAAAAATAGGTCACTTACAGAAAAATAAAAATCAGCATGGCATCAGGCTTTTCAAAAACATTAGTGCTAGAAGACAATGAAGAAACACCTTCAAACCCCAGAGGAAAAGTTAATTTTATCTGAGAACTCTATACTTAGTCAATGTATTGATTAACTGCAAGGGTAGAATGAAGACACTTTCAGTCACAAAAGTATCTAGAGAATTTTCCTCTTATATATCCTTTAAAATGTATTTGGGGTGTTCTCCAGCGAAGTAAATGAGTGAGTTAAGAAGGAGAGTCAAAAAACAAAGGATTCAACTCAGATCCAGGAAGACAGATTTGCAAGAGAACTAGACAGAAACCTAAAGGGAAGGACTTCTGGCATATAAACAAAAGGAGTGTGGATAATAG